TTGCAATAATGAAGTCATTTATCTTTCCCAACTAAACTCTACAAAACAGCTTTTATAAAGCAGCTTAGCTTTAAAGCAGTTTGTTAAGAAACAGAGACTATATTCATACAACCTCACAAAACTTCACCACCCTCAGCTTAAGTACACTAGGCTGTCAGGGTAAAATAACCAAAATTTGTTACTAGTAGAAACAGATCAAATTTGAGACAATCCTTCAAAATGTTCATTAATTTATTTATTACTGGAAATCTGCCTCAGCTTAGTTCAGTTTTGAATAAGGTAGGAAAAAATCCTGCAGTGAGAATTCTAAGTTCTTACATAACTGGGGCTTTTGAGCATAATAGAATCAGAAGACAGGGGGGAAAAAAAAGGCAGTTCTAGTCACCTAAGAGCCAAGAAGTACAAAAAACTATTTACTGAATTACAGAAGTCCAAGGAAATTGAACTGATAGTCTTCTTTCAAAAATATCTACTACTTAACTTGCAAGTGAATGCAGAAGTGAGGGATAAGATATACCTCAGTAGGCTCTAAATAATAAAGAAATGGGAAGCTAGATGTATAAATCGCTCCAAAGAAGGACAAAACTCCTACAACAAAGGCTAAGTGCAGTTTTTTCAATCAAGTTTCTGGCATTCCTGAAGCTATGAACTTTGTTGGTGCTTTGGGATGTGCTTTTTTACTCCCTTGCTTTCATCTGTCTACATCTTTTGATTCAAGCCCACTACAATCTCTGCTGCTGAGGCAACCACCAGTGCTTTAGCAGCTGCCACTTTAGGCTGATACTTACACAACATACTTGAGCAGCTTCTGTGTAAGAAAACATAAAGGAAAGCAAAACAACATCTAGACAGTTTTTGAAAAGACTAAGAGTTTTAAAAAGCTAAGTATTTAATGTACAGTCTCACATGAAAGAACAGCAAGCATTCAGAAGTTGAAACTCATGAACTCACAAGAAACAGTTCCCTACATCCACAAGTTACAGTTGAAAAAGGCGGAGTCTCCTTGGAGGGAAGAGGACAAGGACACCCAGAAATCTCAAATTCAATCCCTCTTTAAACCATCAGTAGGAAGAGCTGTAAACTGCAGGCCAGTATCACAGCTACTGTTTCGTTAAGTACAATGCCCATTTGACACTATTTTGCAGTGTTACTACAGAATTAAGTCTGTGCACCATAAAACTAAGACTACAACTCCTACGTATCTTGGTCTCTTTTGTAGACACATTAAAACTATTTTAATACACTAAATCCAAATCAACTCTCCTTTCACTCTTCTAAGTTGGTGACGTGAATAAAAGTAGTTCCTGGAACTGGAATTATTTGGTGAAAAAGCTCTGATGGAGATTTGACAATGTAAATTTATGTAAGCCATTCACAATAGCATAGTAACCATTGCACAGTTTGAATAATTAATGTATTACTAGCACTTAGAAGTACTATTTAAATATTTGTGCTGATGAAAAATAAAATATTGTCTCCAGTCACCATCAGCAAGCTCCTCTTTTAGCAAGAAATATGTATGCAAAGTAAAAATAAGCAAAACATTACAGAAAAACAAGTTTCCTGAATAAGCTATCATGAAATTAGTATGCATATATATTGAGCTGTAACAGCAATTAACCAACTTTTAGAAAGCAAGGAAAAAACCGTAACAAATACAAAAGTGTTTATCAATAACTTATTTACTAGAGATCACACAACTAGACTAATAAATTGCTTAAGTATCACTAGTTTGCCCACTAGATTTAAAATCAATGCAATCAGATTTTTAACATACAACATCACCATGAACAAGAATGCTTCAGGAAGATAAATCCCCACACAAAAAATATTTTTATCATCTGTAACTAAACCAAGTAACTGGTAACTGCATCAAACTTGACCGCAAGACATTTTTCAAAAGTAGTCATACTGAAAAAATCGAAGTTTAGCAAGTTAGGGAAAGGATACAGAAAGAAATTTTAAACAGGAAAGCCTAATACTGCAGCCTTACATGAGAAGTTGTCATTGCACTTACCATTTATGTCCTTCTTTTATACTGAACAGTAAAAAGGAATAGGATATAAGTGAAGGAAGCTTACTTTTCGAAGCTTTTAAGAAACAAAAACAAGGATTAGAAACAATTATTATTTTCCTTTTAAATACACAGTTGGCAGAAGACTTTAATATGTTATAAGGATTATGCCAAAAGAGTTTATCAAGACCTGATATGGTAAAAACTATCCACCAGTATCATAAAATGCAATATCCACCAAGACGTAACTTTCAAACTCTTAAAACAGAGAATAACTTTCTTCAGTGTATGTACAGTAGTAATCTGAGACTAGAAGTAATTACCAGCTGGAGTCTGTTCACAGTAAACAAGTATTAGTAAGAATAAATCAAAAAAATTTAGTTGTATAAGAAATTCTATTAAATTGAAAAAAGACTGGATGTATCATGTTGCTATCTCCAGCAATGGTTTACAATTCTTCTCTGCTGCAAAATGCAAAGGCTTTTCCAAACTCCCATTCACACTACACAACTTAAGTACAGTTACCTAAAGATATGTTATAATGAACATCTATAAAATGATAGGCCATGCTTAGTTACATAACTGCCCTTATTCAAAACAGCTGCTAAAGAAAGCACATACATCAATTCTAATTTTGTTTCAATTCTTCCTCTTTTACAGTCCAAAGGACATTGGAAGTAAAACATATGTCAACACGTAACCACAATACTAAAGAACAGTCTGAAAACTAGAGAAAATGTTTTTTTTTTAATTATTGTTAATGCCACTTTAACTTCACATGATACTAAAAAACTACCACCTGTACTATATATTCCCTTGTATAACATATAATGCTTTTGATAGGATTGTCACTGCACCACTACATCCACGTATTCTTGCAGTGTATTAATTAGTTCCAGATGAACACACAAATCAAGTATTGCAACCCAGTTGGGAAAGCTACACTATTCCAAAGTATTATGCCACATTTACCTTTCCCCCAAGAAAATATCATCATCTAAAAATCACAAAAACTATGCATAGTGATTGAAGTGCTTTCCATTTTAACCATTCCTCTTCCATTCTCACGATACATTTTTCCCATGTCCAGCACACCAACTTGATCAATTTCTATTCACACACGCTTCAGAATTTAAAGATGCAGGTAAGCACGAGGATGGCCAAACTGTGGCAAGCAATTCAAGCACAGGGGCTAAATAATACTGACTCAAGAAAGTTGCAAGAAGAAAACCAGCAGAGCTTGCGGTGGCCAACCTTATCCAGTTTTCCCAGCAGCCCAAGCTGCAGGGTATGGGCCACAATCTCCTAACAGCAAAGGAATCTGAGGGAGCTACTGTCATCTCAAGTGTGTGGGTTGGCTCCCCAGCTTCCCATTTCTGCAGCACTCTGCAGTGAGTAGCACGGGTCTCACAGATCAGCCACCAAAGGATTCTGACAGGTAGCTTATAGGGTCAGAAAATCAGGATACCCCAGAAGATGCTACATGAAGATATTAAGGCAAGATGAAGTTTCTTATTTGGCACTACAAAAGTCACAATCGGTAAGTGCTATTTCTAATTACATCAGACAATTGCTATGTGCTATTTCACAAAGTATGTTTAACAATACATGGGAACACACTAAAGGACGTTACAAGTTTTGAATTCTTGATCTTCATCACCCCAAAGAATAAAACTGCTTTCAGCATGCCTTTTTTAGTGTGAGCACATATGGAAATAAATGATTATTTTCCGCTGCAAGTTTCTCAACACACAATCAGCAGAATTAACTAATAGCTGTTAGTAACAGAGGAACAATTTTGCTTCCTCCTCATCTTTACTAAAAACACTAAGGGGCAGTGGACAGAAAAAAAGATGTCCTGCTGAGAACAGGACATTTTTTATCTTCTAACTTCTCTTAGGGTGTCTCAGAATATACATAATACAGTCTTCTCAAACCTACAGAAAATGTTATAGTATAGAATGTAAAATAAGCATGTCTTCCACGAAACACATAATCAGAAAGTATCTGAGAAACCAGTGGTTTATTTTTGATTTATGTACCAAGGAGCAGAATTCCCTCCTGCAGAGTACAGCTGTTATAATAACGTAGAAGAGCATTGTGTGGATCACTTATTCATTGCTTCCTCACTAAGAATAGCTGTAATATTAAAAGGTATCCTTCTCACATGAAACTAACGCATTCCTCACATGAAACTAACACATTCACAATACAGGTTGCATTCATTTAACTGCTTTGGTTGGTAGGAAAAAAAAAAAAAATCATACCCTTGACCAAAACAGATCATGAAAAATGAGAAGCTGACTCCTCTGATACCACCATTTTGCTAGTCCTGCAGGATGAGTCTTCAGAGGCAGAACACACCTAAATTACTAATATAAATAATGTAGAAATTATAGCAGAGGACCATTTTTTTCCCCACCTTTATAATCTTTTGGTCTCATTTAGTAAAGATGTTGAGGTTTCCTCATCCTAGTTTTACAGTAGGGTCAAAGGGGAGAGTGCCTAGTTAACACCACCCATTTTGTTTCTGAAGTATATTATTCTTAATAGGTTAAGCATAAACCAAACCAAACAATTCAAACAAGCTTAACAGCCTGAATTGGTTTAAAATTTAAACCTTCCGTCAGACCAGGACACCTTCTCATGGAAACATCATTTATTCCCATGACCTCCCACTTAGAAAAATTCTATTATTTTATTGGAAAAAATAATTTCCCCAAATAAAAAAGGCACATTATTATCTGAACACTTTCACTTAACTGAAATGTTACATCACCAGCCTGTAGGAGAAGTAACAGTGATGCCATCGTACAAGAGAATAACTACACTACTAAATTTGTACCACTCCCCTCATGAGAACGATGGAATACTGAAGGAAATACAGTGAACAAGAAGGTGGAAGGTCAATACCTAGTGTATAAAAAAACATTACAATAAAAAAATTCTTTTATAATTTTGACTTTTGTCATAGAATTTTACTTACATTGTCCATGAAATTTGGCTTAAATCCTCCCTCCTGCTGTCGTCGTAATTCCTCCTGTTCCCTCTGACGCATCATCTCTTCTTCACGACGTCGATGTTCTTCTTCATGTCTGGAATATTTTTCAAAAACTATGTCAACTTAAATTCTTGATCTGTTCACGCTTATACTCCGTCTCAAGAGATAAGATCAAGCATATAGAAGAAAGGGTAATTAATTTTTTATATAGTTAAGGCACTAATCAGGAAACTGATGGGTTCGAAAATTATTAAGTTTTGGGGTTTTTTTTTGTTTAGGTTTTTTTGTTTGGGGGGGGGGGGGGGGGGGACA